TGGGCACACTGCTGGCTCATGTTCAGCCGGCTGTCAACCAGCACCCCCAGGTCCTTTTCTGCCAGGCAGCTTTCCAGCCACTCCTCCCCAAGCCTGCTGCGTTGCATGGGGCTGTTGTGACCTCAATTGCTTGAAAAGATAAATAGTTTAAAAAAACCAACATAAGGTAATAGCAGTAAAGTAAGTATTCCAGAATACTGCAAATGTGAAATAAAAAGTTTCTTTTGGCACTAGAGAAAAGGAATGGGTTCCACACTGTAAAGCTTTCTCAAACTATCAACTTCATACGAACAAAAGTACATCTTTAAAACAGGATTTATGGAAGCGGATAAGAGAGCTCTGCAGAGGCTATGATTTCACAGAAGGTAGCAGATTCCTGAAAGAATGGCAAGACATACAATTAAATCAATTATTTTCTAGTTTTCAAAAAATTTAAAGAAGTTTTTGTAGGAGGCTTCATTAAGCAGTGGCAACAACTGTTACGAAGGGTTTAGCCAATCTTACCCTAGAATCAGTGTACTGTTAAAAAAAAAAAAAGTAATGACAATTATTCAGTCTATCATCATGCATGTCACTTTAAGGTCACCAAATACAAAGAATATACCAGATAATACTGTTCTAGTAATCACAACAAAACCAACAATGCTGAACTGATATAGAAAATGCTCTAGTATGTTAAAAAACATCAAAGAAATTTAGATCAAACTGCAGCCAGCTGTCTATTTAGGTTACAGTAAATAAAACTAAAGTGCTGTTATTTCTTCTAGGAAATTGATTTAAACTACATTTTAAATTAACCAATATACATATTTGCATGAAAAAACATGTTACTTTCTAAGCTCCAATCAATATAAGTTCTGTAAAGTGGAATAACTTTCAAAAGTCTTTGGAAAATACACAAGGTGAAATCCAGCATAAAGCATTACACCAGCACCAGAGGTGCAACTGCAGGGTCACAGAAGCTTCTGTGATTATGTCTACATTGTGAAGAAGTCGGAAATTGTTGTTATTTAATTTTATTTTTCTAAACAAGGAGTGGAAAAGTAAGGCAGCAGTTCCATCAACTCATTCCATTCCTCTGCACAAGAGCTTTTCCAAAAACACAGGCCAGGATCCCATTATTTTTAATGTAAGATATACCTATAAACTCTATGTTGATGAAAAATAATGCCAGAACAGAACACACTAATTAAGGCACAATGTCTTTTAATAGCACATCATGAACATCAACATTATTCAGGACACGAAGATAAGCACATGCTAAAAGTTTTGAAGATGAGGCACTGTGGTAAATTGTGTAAAATACAGACAATCACACAGATTGTGAGGAATCACCTCTCATACTTTTAGCCAACAGAAGCATCTAAGATCACTAAGATTTACGCTCTGGGATTCTCCTTCTGCTGCATAAGCTGAGAACATCAATAGCATTAAGCTAACATGTAGAACGTATTCTTGTTTGCTTTTTTTACTAAGGGAAATTAATAAAAAATTAACACATCAGTACTAGGCAACAGCATTAAGGTTTTAATATTCAAAACTTTAGTTCTTTGGTTGATTTGCATTTCTTTTTGGACTACGTAAAAATGGAAACTGTCTTCCCCTTATGTGACCAGCATCACAGAAAACATGCTAAACAAAGTAACACAAAGCAGAATCTTTTACTGGAGTTTTAATAACAGTTGCTCGTTATGAAAAACCTCAATGAATGCTTACTCTGTGGACTGAGCAAGGTAGATTTGGATATGAGTAAGATACACTAGAGGTACGTAAAAGTTTTTGTAGCAACATTACAAGAGAATCTCAAAGCACGAAATTTAAAAGAATCCCATTAACACTATCGAAGATTATGCAGCCATTGAGCCAACAGTAATGAATCATCTGTGTAATACATTTCAAGCGACTTAGGTCAGATCTAGGAAGCAAAACTGCTTATAAAAGTCCATTTATCCAGTGATGGGTAATTTATGAATTTTGATTGTATTTCTATATTTGAGATTTCCAGAATTGACTTTACCACCTCACAAATATTCTCATCAGTGCCATACTCCGAGATGTTCTCTTCCATCTTTGCAGTCTATTATAAAGGTCTAGTTTCACTAAGTATTTGCAACTCAATAGTACTTGTGCTATCTACGCCGCTCTCATAGTCTATGTAGGTTTTGAAGGGCAAATGAAATTTGTCCCATACACAGAAAGTGATTGAACAACTCAAAAGGACAGGTAAGCCAGATCCTTACAATAACCTTGCAATGAAGGAAACAACATCCAAAAACTGTTTACCAAATGCTTCACAACCAGTTATCCTTCACATTTACAACACTTGAACTTGCCAGGCAGAATCTGAAAAAAACCCCACTGTAAATATGGTGCAATTCAGAAAGATGCTGGCTTTACCTGTCAGCTGTATTCCAGTTAATTGAAGAAGTGTGCTTAACCCTACATTTTTTGAATGTGTAAAATACATAATTAAAAAAAAATTAACTATGAGCTTGAAATCCGAGGCGATAATGGTCCTAGTCTACACATACTTCTGAAAATATTTCCTTATACTTACATAATACTACATTCAAAGACCATATGCCACTTCTGAAATAGAGAGCCCACAACATGCAGCCAAACAGGGCCAAGACGGTGCATATAATTCTCTATCAAAGATGTGATCTACATGTTATTGACTTCAAGAAATTTAGAAACAGTCTCAGCCCTTGTTCATATGCGTGCTGACTTACCCCTTTCTTATCGTGCTGTAATCACTCACCAAAATCTTGCATTTGTTTTCACATTTTTCTAAGAAGTCTGAATCAATAACTCCTGATAGTTCCACCATTACCAGTTGCTCCTACAAGGCAAGTTTAGAGTGTACATCTGTAATTTATATATC